TCCTCACCTTCGATAATGCCCATTATTCTTATGTTTCCTCTCCTGATGGTATCAGCTAGTTATTTTTTTATTATTTTTTATTCTTCGGTTTCTCTCTTCTTCCTTCTGATTCATTTCTAGCTTTCTGTCTTCGATATCACTGATCCTTTCCTCCATTTGGTCAACTCTATTTCCCAAGCTTGCTATTTCATTTTCAACTCTTGCAATGTGTTTATCTCTAGAAGATCTATTCTGTTCTTCTTGAGGGTTTCACTCTCCTTGCTCTGCTCATCTAGTTGTTTTTTCAGTTCCTGAAATTGTTGATATGACTTATTTCGGAACTCATTTCAGAAGTACCATCCTGAATTCTCTGTCATTTAAATCATATATTTCAATGTCTATAAGCTTATTTTCTGGAGATTTTTCTCTTTCTTTTTGAGATGCCTTGTCACCTTGGTTGTTCATGGTGTTTAATAGACTATTTCTCCACCTGGGCATTAATGGAAGTGTATTCTGCTGTTTTTCCAGAAAGATTTATTATATAAGGGTCTCTCTTTAGCCTGCCACAAAGAAGGCGCTTTTCTTTTGGTTTCCAGTAGGTGGCATCTAAGCCTCTTGGATCCTTGCTTTATATAAAGCCTAAATAATGTTTTTTTGTTTTTTTGTTTTTTGTAGAAATTTAATCACACTTGCTACTCTCAGTTTCAATCCCTGTCAGAGTTCACAAACAGTTTCAGTAGCATTTTCTCAAATTTCCCCGTGGCTCCACAATGATCAATCTCGGAGAATGGGGAGAGGGGCCCTCTGGATTGCGATTTGGGGGCTGCGGCTCAGCCTCGGTTTTGCACCCATGCCCAGTAAAAATCAACTATTGTTTCCCTGTGTCCCCGTCCTGCTTCTCTACTTTCTGCCCTGATGACTAGGCCTAGCTGCCGACTGCGTAGAAGTCCAGGCACCTCCAGGCAACTCCAGGAAAGTCGTTGCACCTTCACCCCTCCCCATCCTCCTGCAAGGAGCTCTGGCAGCTGTGAGAGGCAGCTTCTTTATTTCTCCCAGTCCACTGCAGCACACCCGGGTTCTGACCTGTGGTAGTTCTTATGCGCATTTCCCAACGGTCAGATGTGCTGGTGTGCAGTTTGGGTGTTTTTTGTTCAGTTTTGGATGTTCAGCTTATTGTTGTTTCAAGGGAAGAGATCTGAGGATGTCTCTCACTCCACCATGTTTCCCAGAATCCCCAAATTATATTTTAAAGATAACTTGTCAGTGCTTACTAAATGCTTTCATGTACTTTTCCATTTACTGTATTTTTTTGTAGAATAAACAAAAAAAAGTTTCCACTGGACCTGGGGTAACATTCAGCTTTCAGAGTAAAAGGAGATTTACTTGGACTCGGCTTCTCCCTGAGCCAGGCTCTATGATAGGCTTTGACAGAAGACAAAGTATAGGAAAATTTAAGTCCCGAGGAAGGAGGAACTTGATCAAATAGACTAAGGTGCAGACACTCAGTAGTTATTTAGCATCTGTCTTTCTAAATGAACTAATCTGATCATGAATTTAGAGAAGTAGGCATTAAGCTTTGTTAATAGTCCTTCAAAATCTCCTTTCTGTTCCAAGCACACACATTAAATTGTATCACATACCCTCTCCATAAAACAAGTGTCTCTTTCGACTATTTTTGCCCTAAACACAATTGATCTTCAAGACTCCAACTGCTTCTGGGCAGCTGTATTTGCTCACTCCGAAATCATAGGAGTTCACAGTGACTTTTCAGTGTTTTAAAAACTACCACCACAGAACTCAGATTCAAAGACTAATGGCAGAGACTGGCCTCAAGGTGGCCTCTTAAAAACAAGTTGTCAGATTGATTTGAGCATTTGCTGTACATAAATGCCTTTCTGAGGGGCATAAAAGCACTATGTTGTCGTACTTCATTTACCAATTCTCAGTGTTTTTCTGTGTCCCCGGTAATACTATAATCCATTTCAAGGTTAGGTGATTTGCAAAAGGTGATTTTTGAGTAGGTACAACGAGCCCTATTCATAAAGTCTAATCATGAATAATTCTAGCTGCTCTCTTGAAAACCATGAGTTATGTTAAATATGTCCCCTAAACTGTCTTCCAAGTTTACCTTGCCATGGAGAAAGCTTATGTATGATTAAAAACTCTAGTGCCACATATCTTGCATAACATGATTCCCTATTTGCAAATGCATAGATTCCTACCGATCAATAATATTTCCCAAAACATAATAATGATATATAAAGCAAAGCAGTATTCCCGAGCAGTATTTTCATGTTAGTTCTACTAAAAGATTGTTTATTTTGTACCCATTTATATCTGAAGCATTTCCATACATAAAATTTTACAGAAGAGCTCACTCTGCAAAGTAGTTAAAAGTGGGGGGCTGCTCTGATGAAGACCTAAACCTTCTTGCTCCTCCCTATCAGCTAATCCCCAGGTCTCCTCCAGCAGCCCAACAACCTTTTACAGATGCTCGTGGGCTCAAGCCATAGAGCACAGACGCTCCACTGTTCCGAGACAGTTCTCACAACCAAATTTTGTGTGAGAACTATACTGCAGAGTTCGAAAATAAATTCTCTGTTGGGGTCCTGAAATACAGAAATTCTGTATTACAAGCGAAGGGCAGATCCGTATTTCAATAATCAAGGAAAGCTAGGCTAACCTTGTATATTGTGTATGAGAGTGAGAAGCCTGAATAAAAGGCCAGCCCACTTTCATCTCAGAAATGGGCTTACCTGAAAATCTCAACATTTGTTATGTGTGTGCATATTTACATATACATATGCACATATATATGCATATAAATGCGCATATTCTTTTGAATAAAACAAGATATAATACTTAAGTAGTCAACATGGCACAGAATGAGTGAGTTTTCTTATGCATTAATCTGTTCCTTTTCATTAGGTCGATGACAGCATTCAAAGGAGACAGCAAAGTTATGAAATTGTTTGCAAAACACATCAAGGTAAGCAAAAGGCCTGTGGTTCCTGATGAGGGATGTTAATGGTCCTTAAGGGCCACTCCCAGACCTCAGCTTTTCCCCTTCAGCCTCTTCTTATCTTCTTAGCAAGCGTGTTCTTGTGTGCCTCTTTATTTAACATATTTAACGAGGATTCAGGTTTTCTTTGCATTTCCTGCCTCTGCATACCCACCTCTCCCCACAGCAGTCACTATTCCTCCATGCTCCAAGATTCCTGTACAGAAGCTGAGGTGTGACCCCTGGATTCTTTGAAGATTTACCAGTTTTCTTCTCTCTTGATGTTAACCTTCTTTGCCCTAGAAATTGACCCTAAACAGGGGTAGCCCCATTTGTTTTTTAACTTTATTAACTTTTAGATAAAATGATCCAAATTGGCCTATGACTGCACTTTCTAATGACTCTGAAAAGAGTTCCTGGACCCAGTCTCCAACAGGGGACAGGGTGCTTTCCAACACATCCAAGCAATGCTCCGGACACCACATTGATGTCCTACAATTCAACTCAGTTCTAACATTATCTATTCTAAGATAACATCAGATGCCACAAGTTAAGGGTTCAGTCCTGTAAGACTGCACACATACCCCCTCCCCTAACTTCAGCCACCAGTTGCAAAGCCCAGGCTGTTACCTGTACTTAAGACCAACTGGCTATAAATCAGAGGTTCCCAAAAGCCCCTCCTCAGATTTAGTTAATTTACTAGAGCAGCTCACAGAACTCAGAGAAGCATTTTACTTACTAGATTGCGGGTTCATTATAAAAGGATATGACTCAGGAACAGTCAGATGGAAGAGATGCATGGGGAAAGAGCTTCCATTGCCCTCTCCAGGCATATCACTCTCTCCAAACTCCATGTGTTCACCAACCCAGAAGTTCTTTGAACCCCTTGCTCGGGTTTTTATAGAGGCTTCATTACATAGGCATTATTGATTAAATTATTGGCCAATGGAGATGGATTCAACCTTCAGCCCCTCTCCTTTCCCTGGAGGTCAAGCGTGAAAGTTCCAACCCTCTAATCACAAGGTTGATACTCCTTGCAACCAGTCCCCATCCTCAGGTGCTTCCAAAACCCATCTCGTTTACATAAAACACACCTGTATCACTCTCAACACTTAAGAGATTCTGAGGGCCTTGGGAGCTGTGAGTCAGGAACTGTGGGTGAAGGCCACATATGTATGAGAAGTATATTTTGCTCATCTGAATGGCCAAATATATATTTCTTATAAATCTCAATATCACGCTTTTCTTTATTCTCTTCCATTATGAAATAGGTGCAGGAGCAGGTAAAGTTGCTGGAGAAGCGTGTGGTGCACCTGGGTGTAGGAACTCCAGGGAGGATTAAAGAACTTGTTAAACAAGGTATGAAAAGAGCCAGTGATACTCCCACTCAGAGCTGGGAGTTTGCCTTACCCACTGTGTGAGTTTGGGAAACCACATGTGTGATGTAGTGAAACCAGACCTCTGTGTTAATTCAGGAGTAGGAAACTCGGCCTTTATCCTCTGAAGTCAGCCAGCAAGTATAATGAAATAGGAAATGATAAGCACTGTGGCAAAACTCAGTCCATGTGCCCACCTAAATACATTCATATTTCAATCGCTTTAAGCATGTTAGTGGATCCACAATTAATTCCATCAGTTTACACTCTCTGGAGTTTGTAGAGCTAGATATGTTGAGTATTTGCTTCTCACTTAATTGAGTTTGGTTCCTCAAGACTCCCATTCCACTTGACAGCTGGTATATAAAACATGTTGAAACAAAAACATAGTTTCTGTGTATGAAATACTAGTATTCTGGAATATTTCTCCCAAATGCATTTCTTTTTTAGTGCTTTACCCAGAAAGTATTCCAGAAAATATCCACTGGTGGGTTTTATAGTTTGTTGATTTTCTCAAAGGCAGTAAGTAGCCTAGAAACCTGCTAGCCTGCAGATGATCTTACCTGTTCTACCTGCCAGACAGAATAAAGATTTCTTGTCGATGCTCATTTTCAAATTATTTCTTTAATTCAATAATAGAACATTATTGAATTAAAGAAATAATAGAACATTGTTTTATAACTGCTTAAAGCGATTCCTGTATTTTTTATATATCTGAAAGTAATATATTCATCAGTATAGTAACTCAGTATAGAGATGGTCATTTGCCAGGAAGTGAACGAAACTAAAAATACTAGTGTTTCTCTCCAGATGAAAGGCTTCCAGGGTTACATGAACCCACTACATACAGAGTTCTGTGCAAATTACAAGTAATAAACTTGAAGGCCCCAGATGAGGAAAGGAAACATATTTTTTGAGTTTCTATTTGTACTTAGCGCTGTGCTAGACACACTTACATATCTCATTTAGTACGTATCATCCTTGCAGGCTGGCATTCTTATGTCTTATGACAGAAACTAAAGTTAACAAGGGTTAAATGGCCCTCCAAGGTCTCTTAGTCTAGGCTTTCCTGGTTCCTGAGCCTTTCCCACTCAGGGAGTTCCTGGTCCATTTGAAGAGATATGCGAATGGAATGAGATTGATGACACGAGGCAGGAGGTGCCAAGGGCCCAGTGAGTATTTCGCCATCCTGGAGGAGTTGCAATGGAGAGAGCGATTTGGCTAAATCTGCAGGAAAGGCTTTTCAGAGGAGTCTTGAACTGATCTTTGAAGAATGGGGAGGATTAAAATAGGATCTTCGAAGTATGGAGATGTAAGAAAAGCATTCAGGAATGGGACTACAGCTGAATCAGAGGAGGGCAGGCAGATACATGTGGAATATCTGGAGGAGGCAAAAAGTAGACAATACCACATTGAAGTTAAGAGCCTCTATTATGGACTCAGACCTCCAGATTCAAATCCTAGGTCCAGCAACTTCCCATACCAGCTCTGTGACGTGGGCAAGTTACTTAACCTTTCTAAACCTGTTTCTTTATTTGAATGATAGAGATAGTAAATAGTACCTTTCTCAAAGGATTGTTATGAAAATTAAATGCCAGTAAAGAGCTCAGCACAGTAAGTGTCACGCCTTAAGAACTCAACAAATAGTAGTTATTATTTTTTTAAAGAGACCACCTTCCTTAGTTGGAGACTTCGTGGGCTGTAATAGCTAGTGATTCAGTTGGAAAGAAAGATTATGGAGGGAGACCTTGAACAGTAAGCCGAGAATTTTGGATTTTCCTCTTGAGAACATAGTAGGATGATGAAAGTGAAGGAACAGATGAGAAGTGCTCATAGTCCATCTGTGAGATGCAAAGTTGGGAGAGATTGGCTGGGCAACAGGAGAGGCCAGGATTAGGCTCTGCCTCTCCCACACCTCTTAGCCAAAGATTCACTTTTCCCTTTCCTGGAATACAGATGTTTTTGTGTGTGTGACCAGACCCTCCATGCAATACAGAGATAAAGGGAGAGGGGAGAAATGAAGCAGTACAAATTGTTGAAATTAGATTTCTACAGATTCATGAAAACTCTGTGTGAAAGCTTGTCTCATTTACGGAATGGGAAAATTATTTAAGGAGCTGTTGAATTTTTACAATACTAATGAAAATAACTTTTACTTTTGATTGTGATTGGATGAATGGTTAAATATTCACTAACCACAGGTGTTAGGCTACATACAAAGTGTTCAAAGAGAACAATTCCAGCATACTAGAAACTGAAAATCTAACAAAGTGAGACAAATGATGCATAACTCATTTTATTTATAAATATATATATATATGGTCTATTAAGGAGAGTTTCCAGATGTTGAATGATATCCCATGAGATTGGGATCTGTACAATTATAGACAGAATTGTATTGTTTTAATTTAATAATGAAGGGAATTTTCCGACTGTAAGAGCCTTTGAAAAATGCAAAAAGGTACAGAAAAGAAAATAATTTACTTTAAAATATTATCTTATAAGTTAATATTAACTATTTTCTTACAGTCTTCTATTCATTTTATTTATTTTTTATTTTTTTATTTTTTAGTTAGAGTTGACATTCGATATTATATTAGTTTCAGATATACAGCATAGTGGTTAGACATGTATACAATTTATGAAGTAGTCCCCTCAATTAGTCTAGTACCCACCTAGCACTATACATACTTATTACAATATTATTGACTGTATTCCCTATGCTGTACTTTACATCCCCATGACTATTTTGTAACTACTAATTTGTACTTCTTAATCCTTTCATCCTTTTCACCCTGTTCCCCAACCCCCCTTCCATCTGGCAACCATTTGTTCTCTGTATTTATGAGTCTGTTTCCGTTTTGTTTCTTCATTTATTTTGTTCTTTAGATCCCACACATAAGTGAAACCATATGGCATTTGTCTTTCTCTGTCTCACTTATTTCACTAGCATAATATTCTCTGGGTCCATTCGTGTTGTCCGGAATGGTAACATTTCATTCTTTTTTATGGCTGAGTAATATTCCATTATATATATGTACCAAGTCTCCTTTATCCAATTGTCTATGTCTAGGCTACAGTGAACATAGGGGTGCATATGTCTTTTCAAATTACTGTTTTGATTTATTTCAGATAAATACCCAGAAATAGAATTGTTGCATCATATAGTAGTTCTATTTTTAATATTTGGAGAAACCTCCATCCATACTGTTTTTTATACTGACTGCACCAATTTGCAATCCCACCAACAGAGCACAGGGGTACCCTTTTCTCCACATCCTCACCAACACTTGCTATTGCCTGAATCATTGATGACAGCTATTCTGACAGATTTGACATGATATCTTGTTGTGGTTTTAATTTACATTTTTCTGATGATTAGCAACATTGAGCATCTTTTCATATCTCTATTGGCCGTCTCTATGTCCTCTTTAGAGAAAAGCCAATTCAGGTCCTCTGCCCATTTTTTAATAGCTGAATAATATTCTACTGTATATGTATGTCACATTTTCTTTAACCATTCATTCATTGATGAACAATTATTCATCAATGATGTTAAATTGTTTTCATGTCTTGGCTATTGTAAATAATGCTGCAACGAACAAGGGGGTGCTGATATATTTTCAAGATAATCATTTCATTTCCTTTGGATATATACCCAGAAATGGGATTGTTGGGTCATATGGTAGTTCTATTTTTAATTTTTTGAGGAACCTCCATACTGTTTACCATTGCAGCTGCAATTTACGTTTTCAATTTACATTTTCACTCAACAGTGCATAAGAGTTCCCTTTTCTCCACATTCTTGCCAACACTTGTTATCTCTTGTCTTTTTGATAATAGCCATTTTAAAAGGTATCAGGTGATATCTCATTATGGTTTTGATTTGCATTTCCCTCATAATTTGTGATGTCTCCCTCATAATTAGCATCTTTTCATGTAACTGTTGTCCATTTGGATTTCTTCTTTGGAAAAATGTAGATTCAGTTCCTCTGCCTATTTTTAAATCAGATTTTTGCTATTGAGCTGTATGAGTTCTTTATATATGTTGTATATTAACCTCAAGTTATATTGTTTTTTTAACGAATTTATTATAGTAGGATGTTTGGGTTATTTCTTATTTTCGCTATTATAAATAATACTGCAGTGATCATCTTTGTAAGTAAATATTTAAATTTCTGATGTTTTTATTAGGATATGTTATATAAGGAAAATTATTTTATCAAATATTAAGCATTTAAAGCTCATATTATATAATGCCAAATTATTTTCCAGAGAGGCTGTATCTGTTTCCTCCATACTAGCCATAAGTTATTTTTAAGAGAAGACTGTCAGCCCATTTTCTTTCTTCCTTTATCATTTTTAATTTTTCAGAGATAGTTTTAAATAAGAGGCACTGTAATTATGATAAGCATGAAAAAGTCTTTTGGGCAGAGAAGAAGTTATTGAAATACAGAGAAACGTTGAAGGAAAGTCTACAGTTGTGTAAAGGAAGGCTTTAGTTTTGTTTCCATGTGAAACGTGTAACAGCTTGGGGCAGTGGGAAGAACATGGGGAGGGAGAAGAACTAACTTTGCCCAACTCAGAGACCTCTGAGGAACAGACAATCCCTGAGATCCCCTCGAGCCCCACATTCCATTACTGTCTCTAGATAGGCAGGAAAACAGTGGGAATGGAGTCTTCAGTGGTTCGCCAGTTTCCTCAAAGGATAGCTGACTTAAAATAGAGCCCATTTAATCTTAACTTCCTTTTCTGCCTAAAATTAACCTCCCAACCCTATCCTCATCCTTCTGCCCACTTACCTCCTCAGTCATGCAGACTCCATTGGACTCAAGTCCTCTGAAGGGCCCCTTCCCCAGACTGCAGGGATCTTACCAAACCCCTGTCAGGAATGAAACTCCACTCTCTGGGGTTTCATGAAACGGAGGCTTGGGATTAGTTCTTTGCCAGCACTTGAGCATGTGACAAGCTTAGCAAGCGATTTCTCTGCTTCCCTCAGAATCAATGATAAGATTATAAGGAGAGCTAGTTTCAGAGCACTGCATTTGTTTTCCATCGGGCAAGGACAGCATTTAATATGCAGAGATTAGTTACGAGGGGAGAGGACAGCAAATGAGGCAAAAAGCAACCAGGAGAAGAGAAAGTCATTTTAATAGGCTTATGTCATGAGGTCTTTGCTGCAGCAACTCTCTCCCTGTCTCTTTCAGGTGGCCTTAATTTGAACCCCTTAAAGTTTCTGGTTTTTGACTGGAACTGGAGAGATCAGAAGTTGAGAAGAATGATGGACATTCCCGAGGTACCTTGTAACCAGCAATTGCCTTTAATCTTTTCTTTTTTTTTAATTTGAACTTGAGTTCAAACACAATAATAAAGTCTTTGACATGGGGAGCCAGCACATTCATTCTGGCCTTTGAAAGTTAGTTTAAAGTAACTACAATTATAGAGGCCATCTACCCCTTACACATAACTCTGTCCTTTCCACGTGTTTTATCAGCTTTGTTTCTTCATTAAATGACTGATGGCCTCTGTCCCAATGGGGACCTTATCTATACTGTACCTTTGAGAAACAGGAAGATCTGGACGACTTGGCATATTCCCCTGTGCCTTGCTTTAAAGACACAATCATGTTTGCTCTTCATCCTTATAAGTGCACTTGGAGATGGGGGCACAAATCTGCCTCATTTCCTGCATCTCTACATCCCCCAAATCTCACTTACTTAATTTTGGTTTTGGGTGATGAGAAAATTTTTGATGTCTCAGTGGATTAAAACTGATTGAATGCCTTCGTGAGCACAGTATTAGCTCATTATATATTTATGAAAGTAATCTATTATCATCATAATGTGAAAAATTTATTTGCCACCCACCATGTTACCATGGGGCTAATTTTTCAATCTAGCTGGATGTTTAGAAGTAGCAGTTGGAGAGAAAAGGATTTGTGCAATAATAAACATGGCTGCCAGTCACCAAGCAGGGATGAATCATGGCAGTAACTAGCAAAAAAGCTTGCAGTACTTGGAATTGCTCCTCCAAACATGCTGAATGAATTAATTTATCACATAAAACCATATCCCCAGAATGACTAGACCTGATTATAATTGTTTAGTAAGTTATATCAGACATCAGTTCAAGAGACAATTGTCTCAGTTCTCTACACACACACGCACACACACACACACTGTCCCCTGAACTGATGTTTTTATTTTTTTAATTGGTTTAACAAATATGATGTCTGGCATGTGATGATTTCAGTTATAATGTTAAATCTGAGCAGTCCACCACTACTTTTCTAATTATAATAATGAGAAATAGAAACAAAAACACCCTTGTCATCCATAGTTTTTGTTATGTTGATGTTATTAGTAGTAATTATCCTATATCGAAATATTGTGTGTAATCTTGGCACACTTTGGGTATCTTTGTATAAGATTATTTTTGTATGAGATATTATTTTGAGCGGTGCAAACAAAAAGATACTTTAATGAAGCTGATGTTTTATATGATACCTCTTCTTTTACTTATGTAAATATTTCCGCTTTGAATAAAATGTGGGTTAGGATTCTAACCAATGTAGTGTATACTTGAAACTAATAATAAAATAAAATTTATATGGGTTAGAATTTTGCCATCCCTGATTCTGTCATAACAGCTGCATAAATACCAGGGAGTCTAGATGGTTGAATTTATTCACCAAGACCATTTTTTCTTGATCTTAACCTTTTTTCCTCTCTCATTTAGATAAGAAAGGAGGTTTTTGAACTTCTGGAAATGGGAGTCCTCAGTCTGTGCAAGTCGGAATCTTTGAAGCTAGGCCTCTTCTAAGTGCGGGTCCTAACGAAAATTCCAGTTTTCATGGTGGAGTTTGCATCTCGTTTAATGACTCTGGCACACTGCAAGCACCCAGTAAATATCAGCTATTGTTTTATGATGTTAGCTGCATCACCAGATGGGTCGCTGGTAATGTTTGATGGGGATTCTTTCACCGCAATGAATCGGTTCTTTGCCAGCTTCCTTTATAATAAAGTATGACCGGCTTGTTTTTCTTTCACCGACTGGCCTAGATCTGACTGTGTGGGAGAAGAAGCAGCTAGGCGACTTGAGGCAAGCTGCTTCTCTTTCTGAGCCTCAGTTTCATCAGCTGCAAAATGGGAATGCTATCTCGCAGGATTGTTGAGGGTTCCATGTAATGGTACATGCGGAACAGATTTGTAAACTGTGAAGCGTCGTCCCAGCGTGAAGGGTGGCAGTGGTAGTGGAAGAAAGAGCTGCCAGCATGTGTGGCACTTTGTAAACATATAAAAGCCAACAACATAACTACAACTGTCTTACTCATTTATTTTTTAACTTGTTATTTTGGAATGATTTCAAACTTACAGAAAAGTTACAAAAATAGTACAGAAAATTTCCATATCCCCTTGCCCTAGCTTCTCCCAATGGTACCATGGTACCATTATCAAAACTAAGAAATCATTGTTGGTACAGTATAATTAACTAGACTACAGACTTTATTCAGATTTCACCAGTGTTTCCACTGATGTCCCTTTTCTATTCCAGGATTCAATCAAGGATCCCACATTGCATGTAGTTGTCAGATCTCCTTAGATTCCTCAAATCAGTGACTGTTCCTCAGTCTTTCCTTTGTTTCATGACCTTGACACATTTGAACAGTACCAATCAGGTATTTTGTAGAATGTCCTTCAATTTGAGTTCGCCAATTGTTTGCTCATGATTTGATTGAGATTCTGCATTTGTTGGCCGGAATATCCCAGAAGTGATACGTCCTATTTAATGCATCGTAGCAGAGGATACATGATGTTGATGTGCCTTATTACCTGTGATGTCGACCTTGATCACCTGGTTGTGGTGGTGTCTGCTGATTTTCTCCACTGTAACACTGTTATTTTTCCCTGTCAGTCTTGGGGGAAATACCTTGAGCTGCACGAATATCCTATCTTTCCTCATACTTTGCCTGTCAACTTTAGCAACATTGATTGTTCTTGCCTGAAACTGTTATAACTATTGTGATTTTTCTATTTCTCTCACTGCTTCAACATTTATTAATTGGAATTCTTCTGTAAGAAAGAGCTGCCTCTTTCCTCCATTCATTTATTTGTTCATTTGTTTGTTTACATCAGTATGGACTCATGAATGTTTATTTTGTTTTATAGGTTATAACCCAATACTATTGATTTTTATTTTGTTGCTCAAATTCACTTCCCTCTTTACTCATTTAAATAATGAATACTGATTATACTGATTAATGTGTCAAGCACTGTTTAGGGCTTTCACTTACATGTAGTCTGTTTAATCGTGTAAATAGTCCTGAAGGAAAAGTAATCATTCACATTTTATAGATGATGAAACTGATTCTCAGAAAGGGCATGCACTAGTTTTAAGTAACAGAACCAGAAGTCAAACTCAGATCTCCCATATTCATTTCTAGACCTCATGAATGTCTGTTTAGGATTTCAGGCATGTAAAACAATAACAGATAAAAAAGCAATCAGATGCCACTACTGGTATATTAAATTCCACATTCGAATATTGTGAGACTTTAAATGAGCCTAGCAGTATAACAAATCAAACTCCAGCAAACACACACTTCCGCACATTAGTGACTTGCTGCTGGTACACCTCCATAGTCTGGAAGCCACACTCAGGGACTCAAAGGAAAGAGAAGCAAGTTCTATTCTGCAGGATCCCAACTCAGACCCAACCAGTTAAAGGAAAAAGAAAAAAAACCACCACAATAAGAAAAGTTTTTCAAACTTAGCCCCATTATTTTCATCCCTTTAATCCTAATATGTGAGATGTTCTTGGACAATGGTAAGAGAAAAAAAAACACAATCCTTCTCAGTACAGGAATTTATTTAACTTCTTGTCAATTAACATGTCTTAGATTGATCTGGAAGACAACATCAAGCATGATTGTATATGAGAGCAGACTTGCAAATTAAGACATGCAGTCTGTGCATGTCAGAATTCAGACCAATCCACTAAGCCACTAATGACTTACCAAAACCAAAACATGAGACCACCATGAATATTATATGTATGTGTAAGTATGTGTGGGTGTGAGTATACCCCACATGTATAACCACTTCCTGATTCTACACTCATATTTAGTATATTTGTATCCCAGCAGTTAACAAGAAAAGGCAGTGAAAAAATGAGGCAACCCCTTATAGACAAAATGACTGGTAATGTCTGAGGAGGCTATCTACACAGCAGTTAAAGAAAAATGAAAGCAAGAACTTTTAAAAATCACTTTCTCATGGACAATAGACTAGTGGTTACCAGAGGGGAGGTGGGAGGTAGAGGGGGTAAACGGAGTCAAATATGTGGTGACAGAAAGAAATCTAACTATGGCCAGTGAACACACAATGCAATATATATATATATATATCTTACTGTTGAATTGTACACCCAAAACTTACTGGATTTCGTTAACCAATGTCAACATTAAAAATTAATTAATTAATTAATTTCAAAACAAAAAAATCACTTTCTGAAGTTTGTAATGATACTACGGTACAACAGCTACTAACAAATCGTTATATTCATGTCAATCTAGAACAGTGGTTCTCAGCCAGGGGCCATTTGCAATGTCCAGAGATATGTTTGGTTGTCACAACTAGGGGGCATGTAGTAGGGGGGTCACAACTGGCATTTAGTGGGTAGAGGCCAGGGACACTAAACAATTCTACAGGACAGCCCCCCACGACAAAGGCATATCTGGCAAAAAATGTCAGTAGCACTGAGATTGACAAGCCCTGTTCTAGAAACTTGAAAAACAGAGCATATGAAATATAATTGCATGCTTGAAGTGGTTTATTTAGAAGAGAGAAATATGTAAATACAAAAGTACTTATAAAATGTATATAGACTATTCTCTCAAGAATGTTGCCCCAGAAATGTTTTCACTACCTGCAATGGTTAATTTTATGTGTCAACTCAACTGGAATACAGGGTACAACATAGTTGATCAAATATTATTCTAGGTATTTCTGTGAGGTGTTTTTGAATGAGATTAACATTTAAATTGGCGAACTTTAGTAAAGCAGATTGCTCTTCATAATGTGGGTGGGCCTCATTCTGTCAGTTGAAATCCTAAACAGGACAAAGGTTGAGTGCCCCCTCCCACAGCCCCGCAACCGAGCAAGAGAGAATTCTGCCTTCCAACTGAAATAGCTCTCCCTGGCTAATGGCCTTCAAACTGGAACATTGGCTCTTCCTAGTTCTATGGCAGCTTTTGGCCTTCAGACTCAAACTGGGACATCAGCGCTGCAGATTTTAGACTTGCCAGCCTTCTCTACATAATCTCGTGAGCGAATTCCTTGTAATAAATCAATCTCTCTCTCTCTCTGTCTCTCTCTCTGTCTCTCTCTCTCTCTCTCTCTCTCTCTCTCTCTCTCTGTCTGTATGTGTGTGTGTATAAAATCTATTGGTTTTGTTTCTCTGGGGAATCCCAGGATACTAACTGTGAAACTCCTTTTAGTTTGGGATTTTGATTAGTTTGGTTTTGTTGTTTTATAAAAAGCCTAAGAAATACTGTTCTTACTGTTTGTTCCTCCAATGACCCTTTTGCCAGGCATTATCTATGTAGTACAATCCCACCCGATTGGGTCAAGAACCTAGATTGCAACACACCTGATATCATGTAGGCTAATCTGTGCATATAATCTAATCTTATAGGCTGTTACTGCCTTTTAAACCCAAGCTTTTGACCATGTTTGTTTACTAAAACAAACCATAGATGTAAATTAGAAGTTTTTGCTGCCAGTCTTCTCACACAAGGCTGTTTGATACCAAGAGCCATACCTGTTACGGCCTCTAAACCAGATTCAAATGCCGTGCTGAAGTTTCCATTAGCATTGTGCTTTTTTCCCAGTCTTGCAAGTTGAAAGTTTTGACTCTGAATTGGAAATCTCCTAATGTAAGTATTTGCATTTATTTTGTATTCCTTTAAACTAGGTACACTTACCAAAGCCATTGCCTCCTTTAATACAAAATGGTCTCATGTGGCTTCCCCTGCCTAATGTTAATCAAAAAGGAAGATTAGAAATGTTGTAGCCGCCAACCCCCAAAAGACACACGGACCACCAGGAATTAGTGAGTCATAGGAATCACACTCTTTATTCAGCCAGCTGGGTCTGCCAGGGGTATGCAGACCCCAAATTAAGCAGCACTGAAATGTAGAGGTACAAGGATTTTAAGCCCAAAATCCTATTCTTCATTCTGTCTGAACACAAACATCTATTTTTCTCCTATTCACTACCTGTCAACCTATAGGTTGGGGTGTGCAAGCGGGGAGTACAGAAGCAGAAAGCTCGTTATCAGAATGTTATGTCCCTATGATCAAAAACCTTTTGTTCCCATGGCAAAAGTCAAACAGTAATTTTCCTACAAGTAATAAATCTCAAGTAGTCATTCTTCAGCCACCACATTCCCCCACTGGCCTTAGCAAAAATCAAATCTTTGATTCTTCATGCGGAATTTGCTCATAGCCCCTAGTCTGTAATACTAAAAGTCTAATGGAATTAATTATTTTCCTTATATATGCAAACAAGAAATTAAGGAAACATGGGCCAAAAGTTAACAAAAGGAGGAGGATGATTAAAGGTCCAGCTACAGCAGATAGAAGAGTTGTTAGCCATGGTGACCAATTGAACTTCCTATGAAACCAGTTATTTGATTCTAGTCTCTTTTTTTCCCTGGCATCCAAATTTCTCTGTACTAGTCATAAGCTTTCTCTTATTACTCCAGAGTTATTGGCATAGAAGCAACAGGTTTCACCCAGAGCTATACATAACCTATCTTGTTCTAAGAATAATAAATTTAAACCTCTTCTATTTTAGAGGATTACTTCTACTAGTGAATCGACTTGAAGTTCTAGACTGCTGATGGTAACTTTTAAGGTCTTGATATCCTTATCTATCTGTATTCCAATTTCACGTAATTCATGTTCTCCCTTGATGAGAGCAGTAGTACCCACCGCCGCTGAGCCCGCTATTCCAAGTCCTACAAGAGGGGGTACTAAGACTGGTACAGCCCGTTTCTGTAACCTGTCTTGATGAAAGAAGTGGAGTCTGCCTTCTGGCCCATTGTAAAGGGACACTCGGGGGAGCACAAAGACTAGGATACAAATAATAGCCTCACCTGAGTCGAGAAGAACAGCTGCAGCACAGTGAGTGAGCCTGCTGTTGCCTGCTAGCCAAGTATTATTTGGAGCCTTATAGTATTTACTCCCTGAGGTAGATACTTCAATAGTACGATTACAGTTATCGAAGTAAGGCGACTATGCCAACAGCTTG